TGACATTGAACCTACCTGCCCAGAGCTTCAGCGCCAATATCGGCGGCATGGCCTTCAACCTTGCCCCAGAAAGCCTTCACCAGGCTCTTGTCGCGCTCGGAGAGACTCATGGCTGTCTTGGAGTTTTACGAAAGCGAGAGAAAATGCAGATCAAATGATTCTGTCCAAGTGGGTTTGCCATAATGCCTTTATATCAAACCAAACGGAACCACGCCTATGCATCACATCCAAACCACACCCCAGATAAAGAAATTGCTAGAAGTTTTCTTTGCCAGTTTTGATGAAAGTTGCCACTCCCATGTAGCCCAGGCTATGACAACTGCCATGTGTCGTAATTTAAGTGAAACACTGCAATTTACTTGAAAACAACCTTCCAACCTCTTTAAACGCTGTTGAATTGCACTGATTTAGGAGTTTCTACTATTTTGCCTGCCCCGTTATCAATAAGGATAATAAACTAAGCAACACAAAGAAATACAATTTAACAGCAGCACAAACTAGCTAGATTTCCCAAAATGACGATACAGTTGAATGAACAGATGTTTTACATATTAAATCACATTCTGTTCCTTTTAGCTGTCTCATAAAATGGCAGCTGAGCGTAATGGTAGTTGAATTCTCGCAATAAGTTATATATTAACTGTGTTTTTAGATGGTCTTATCTAAACCATCTAAAAGATCAATTTGGATCCAAAGCTGCGTCACGCCACTCGAGGTGGTCGCCAAGATACCCACGCAAATTGGTGATTAATCGGGAAATGCAGTTTATCCAATCAGATGCTCCCTGAGCTGAGAGGCGGGGCAATGATTAATGGATAAAAACTGAAATCACAAAGGTTTGTATTCAGAAAAGGGCTTGTGATCAGCGAATTTCTTTATTACTTTTCACGGAAGTGAGAGGAAACCTTTGAACCGTAAACATGACCTGGCCTGGAACTGATGGTGAGCGCGCTGCAGTCGTCAGCCTGTGGGGAAAGCTCGACGCGGGAGCAGTTGGGGCCGAGGCTCTGCGCAGGTAGGTCCACTATTATTGCAATACTAGTATTTTATAATCGCCCTTAAATAGCCACCTTCCCTTTGAGATGTTTTACTGATGTTTCCTTACGATTAATTTCATTTCAGGCTTCTGATTGTGTATCCATGGACTCAGAGATACTTCGCTTCATTTGGTGACCTGTCCAGCGATGCCGCCATCGCCGGGAACCCGAAGGTGGCCGCCCACGGCAAGGTTGTGATGGGTGGGCTGGATAAAGCCGTGAAGCACATTGATGACATCGCCAGCGCCTTCAAGAGCCTGAGTACGATGCACTCTGAGAAGCTCCATGTGGA